AAGAGGATTGACCAATTATTTTCCTATTTCTGTTGGATTACATCAAGGATCGACTTTAAACCCATATCTTTTTGCTTTAGTTATGGATTGTCTTATTGGATGTTGGACATTTACAGAAGGAGGTGCCTTGGTCTTGCTTTTTGCTGATGATATCCTTCTCGTGGATAAAACGAGAGAAAAAATCCAAGAAAAACTTGAATTATGGAGGTTTACATTGGAGTCTAATTACATTGGGGAGGTTTACATTGGAGTCTAAAGGCCTTCATTTGAGTAGAACAAAAACTAAAAACGTGGAATGTAATTTTAGTAGTATTAGCTCTAGTGACATAAGTGTAACTTTGGGTGATCATAAAAGATGTGAACAATTTAGATATCCCGGTTCTGTTATTCAAAGTGATGGTGATATGGATGGAGATGTTAATGGTAAAATTTAAGTTGGTTGGTTGAAGTGGAGGAATGCTTCGGGCTTTTTGTGAGGTAGAAAAGTACTGCTCAGACTGAATGGAAAATTTTATAAGATGGCGGAGAGACCTGCCATGCTCTATGACGTTGAATGTTGGCCTTAAAAGAGAAGCATAATATTAAGTTAAGTGTTGTCCAGAAGAGAATGATTAGGTGGATGGGTGGCTTTACACTTAGAGACAAAATGCGAAATGAATATCTTTATGATACGGTTGGTGTAGCTCCAGTGACGGACAAAATTAGAGAGTCGTCTTAGATGGTTTGGTCACACTAAACTTCGACCATCTGATGATCCGATTAGAAGAGTAGATGTTTTATATTCGACTTATGTTAAGCAAGGCAAAGGCAGACCCAGGAAAACTTGGGCTTAATATATAAAAAATGATTTTAATTTATTAGAACTAAATGAAAATATGACACTAAATAGGATGCAATGGAGAAAAAGGATTCATGTAGCCGACCCGACGTAGTGGGATTAAGGCTTTGTTAGCTTTGTTGTTGTTGATTCAAAAAAAAAAATTCAAATTATCAATCAAATTATAAAACTCTCTAGAATTATACATCCACCAAAAATAATATATATAATTTTGGGCATATTCTGTTGTTTATATAACCATAGCCTACCTGCTTTCATTAATATCACATCTTTTGTTATTTTGTAAAACAACCTAATTATTATCCTACTTTAGTTGACATGATAATGCAACATATTTTTTGTACCAATTTGATGATGACATATAAACTTTTAGACCAAGTTGATGAAAGATGTCAATGGATCTAGCGTTCACCAATGCAAAACAAATATAAGATGTATACAAAAAAATGTATTAAAATATAATTAATAGTTTTAACTTTTAATTCATGTACGTGCATGATTAGTAGATGGACAATAAAACATAGAAAAAACAGATAGGTTTGATACCAATTTAATGCAGACGCCTTTGAGTATATAATTTATTAATGCAAATTTAAGATGAGATGCCAAAAAAAAAAAAGAGTACACAAAAGACTACAATTCATTGCTTCTAACAATCAATTTAGGTAACTGCTAGTCTCTTTAATTCAAAACTGAAAAAAAAAACATTTAATTCCATCCAAAAAATGAGTTAAAAGTTGTCATAACCTATAATTTTGACGAAATATGTGAACGGGATATGATTTAGGATTAACTAGCATAAAGCGAACTTGATGAAATCACAATCACGCAAGCACTCACAAATAAGTTAGATGAGTATAACAAAGATACCACCAATTTGCATCTGGGTCTTAAAATTGTTATAAGAAGCAGCATCCTCCTAAAGATTGTCAAGCCTTGCACCGTCTTCAAAGAATTTGAACATGATTTTGAAAGGAATGTAATAACTTTTATTCAATAGATTACATTTATTCAATAGCTTATGATAAAATATTGCATCAATTGTGCTATTTATATAACTCAAAGGACCCAGAATCAATAATTTCTCAAACTCCCCTAAACTGCACGTTTCAATACAGCAAACTTGATTTCTAGCATGTTTCCAATTCATCGTGGACAGAACAGCAAGATAAAGGTGTTGCTACATTGTAAATACAATAATATAAGGAAAGTGCCCGGTTAATGTCCTCTTCATTAGAATTGTAGGAAATTTGAAGACAGCATGTTACAAGATTTAGCACAAAACAATGAGCAGTTTTCATAGAACTAAAGCACATTTTGCATGAGGGAAAAAAATCAATCAATCACAACAGCAACACATCTCAACCATAGAATCACCATTCATGTCATAATTGGGGAAAACGTAAGCAGAAAAAAAAGTGCAGCGAAGATAATATTCTAAGTCAGAAATCAAACAATGCTTGTACAGAAAAAATAGGTAGAACTGAACATGTTTAGAAACAAGTAGCTGGAAACAGCTGAACCAGGGAATTCAAGAAGAGTTGAATCAATATATAACTTGTAGCACTAACTCGGACCGATGAGATAATCAAAACACTAGAGAATACATATTGTCCTAATGGGAAAGAGAACAAAATAACTAGAACACCAAAACTCAATGTATAAATCTGTGCTGTTGACCAGCATAGATTTTCAAAATTATATCAATAAGCCCGCAAATTAAAGAAGAAAAAGCATTAAAAAGGATGATATAAGTTCAACAAAGTAAAAAAGCTTTACACATTTCTCCCCCATTTATCAGTAGCTGTAGTAACTTTAGCATCTGTCCCGTGTCCAGTGCTCTTAAGATAATAGCCAAACGATTCCTTTGTTGGATAAGGGAGCTTGCAGAAAGTTTCCTTCTGATCAGAAAAAACAAAACGTTGCTTTCTAAAATCAAAGTATATCTCCTCAAGGCTGCTGAATGACGGCCCCACAACCTGCATATAAAAAAGATAAATGTCACACAGAATTCCAGCTTAAATTTCATGAATACTAATATCTAAATCATCGAATTATTTGTGACCTGCAACTTGATGGTAAGCTGCTGTTTTGTTAGGACATGAACGGAAACACAACAACTAATTTATATACAACGTTGTTATTATTCTTAAACATCAATACTACCGTTAATACCAAAATCCTTATCAATTTAAATGCTTATATTAACATATAATAATGTTAAAACTGATGTTTATATAACATGCTTTCTGCAAAATGCGAGAAGCAGAAAAGCATGGCACTCCAAATTTAGGTTAAATCTGCTGCTAAAAATGGGGCAATTTTACGTAAACATGAGAGTGAGAGAAGAAAAAGACAGGACAAAATAAGGAAATAAGAGAAATGCTTATACAGATTTATTGTAAGTAAATAAATATACTTATTTTGATAGGAAAAAAGTTAAATTCTCTAACAAGAAGTAAAAAAAAAAAAGACAATAGCAAGGGTTCATTGTTTGTAGATTTGGCCCTATGGCATCCAACAAAAAGAGTTCCATATAACCCAGAAAGGGTACAATGATAATAAGCGTGCATATGCATAATTCGCTAAACTTTCAGATAGTGAGATTCAATTGATGGAAGATGCTAATGAAAATCAAATATTGTCATAAAATCAATACATGAAAAGGATGAAAATAAATAATGCAGAATACCACAAGACGGACATTGAGAAATTGAGACATAAGTGATAGATATTAGTAAGCCCAAGCAAACCGACTTCCCTCACAAACTTTCCAGCCAAGTTGTTTGCTTGCAAGTTTCAAGGCACAACTGAAATCAATAGATGAACCAAAGTGCTTGAAGATGTCACACAAAACCACAACGAGATTTTATTAAAAAAATTTTGTCATGTTCCATGAACTTGATTCAATCACTAGATTGATGGAAACCAAGACCCAAGTAGCGAGGAAAGTCAAGGAAAAAGTGGGGCAGAGAAATGATGGAATCAAACTCAAGTCCCTAAATATGAATGATTTCTAGCCAAAATGCAGATCTTAAATAATCAAGCCACATATGTTGGTGTGTAATGCCCACGTAATAAGGGATATACAAAGAAACTCTTTGAACTTAATCTCAATATATTAGGCGAGCTAGCAAAAGATAGTACCTGAGGACCTCATTACCTTTGCAAACAGCTATTTAGGTGGCCAAATTTACATGGAAAATTATGGATTATCCTGAATCATAAATGCTGCTTTATAAGGAATGCAGGAAAGAGAACAAAGGTTTAAGTGTACAAAAAATGGAAATAATTTGCTTGAAACTGTCATCAATTATTAACTATGTTGATCGATTAGGTGCCGAGAAACTTACAGTTCTTTGGAAGTGAAGAGGAACAATTTCTTTAGCACCAGAAAACTTAGCAGGAACAACTTTGCATGCATCTGCAGAGCGTATGTCACTGACCTGCCAAATCCAAATAAATATTATGATGAAACATGTCATGCAGATTGGTCGGGACATTGTCAAAATTTGTAAATAACATAAGGGTAAGATTTCTCAATGAAACTGGGTGGCTAAAAAATGACGATTATACTCTTTAACAAAAGTCATCTTCTTTCAACTGTGAATATTACCAAACTGGACTGCATATTTAGATCATAACTAAGAGATTACTGCGCCCAAAAATATCAAATTCTTCGCTCCTGATCAAAAGCCGTTCCAGAAATAAACAAGTCATTTACCTTTCTGAACCGAACGAAGCATTTGAAATCGACAGACCACGCCGTGAAAAGCAGCACAAGGATGTGAAACACAGCAAGACCACCAAGAACGATCAGAGCATCAGTGAAATCAAGGCTGGGAACCGCCAGAAAAATCCATGTACTATAAAGAATAGCAAAGGGCCACACATCCAAGCGCCAGCCACTATGCCGCTTCTTCAGCAGATCGACCACTTCAACCACCTTGCCCCCCACATGGAATCTCACCATCTTTCCCTGCTAGCCTACAAAACTATATGATCACCGAGGTTGATTAAGCTATGATTTTTTTATTCGAATGCGGAAATGCTTGATGCAAGCGATGTTGATTTTTCGTCTCTAAATACTGAAACTATAATAGAAGCCCGCTAAATAAGAAAGATCTAACGCATCCGTTCTCAATTAGATCTTGATCTGACGATGGTCGGAAATAACTTCTGAGAACTTTCCGGCCAGAATACAATGAAGAATCGCCTGAGGAAGGAAAGTCAGGGTTTCCAAAGGGAGTGGATTTGCCTGGTGGCTCTATGAAGTAGAAGCGTATTGACCACAGCTTGGCAGCGGCAGGAGAACGGGCTTTTACTGAAACTTTTCTATCATGTTCTCATTTACAATGGAAGTCTTTTTTGAAGAAAAAAAATTTTATTTTTCACTAAAAATTTATACATTTAAAAAAAATCTATATTAATAAAAAATAATTACTGAAACAATTTTATAATAATATATCATAATAAACCTCAATTTCTATAATATATTTGTTTTTAAAATATAAAATAAATTATTGAAAATAAAAATATTATTTCTTTTGAAATTTTCTCATTATATATTTTGTCATCAAAGCATAGACACCTAAATCACTTTAACTGACTCCCCTCATAGAAGATCACATCACCGATTATGAATAACTTATGTTAAAATATGTGTTTAGAAGAACATCATAGCTTAGTTTATTTGAAGTTCGAGGTATTTCATTAACAATATGATACATTTACAACGATTTTGAAACTTGTTGGATGTAGAGACTTTAGCCTCAAAAATGAAAAACCAAAGCAATAGCATCCAAACCACTCTATCTCGTCACGTCATCAATCAACTCACTGCCCAACAAATCTCCTTCACTATAAAAATCATTGTTGCCTTGAATTGCATTATAGGAAAAGCTTTAACATATACATGTTTCAGTGCTTGTTACATAGTAATGTGTTTAGCAAATGTCACAATGTTAGAAGAATGATAAAACCATTATGAATTTATAATTTACTCTTTTATAAGTCGCCTAATTAAGTAAATGATGAAATATTTTCCTAGCAATAAAGATGTCACATGTGCACGCCTCCTAATATCACAAGAGATTTTTTTTCTCTTTTATCGTCACCCAGCTTCTATAAAATATAGAACAAGATGTCATTTTTCGAGTTTTTTTTTAAGTTAAATTTTTGTGTTTTAATTCAATGTTATACCATCATATTTTGGTGTCTTAGCTCCATTCTGAGAGCTAAGGAGACACTTTTTCAACTGGACTTCTAACAACTTTGCAACACCCATCCTGTTTTGTTCGGCTACAGTCATCATTTTAAGAAATATAAAAGATTATGTCCTTAGATTTCCCTTGGCTCAATTGATAAGTATAATTATTATGATGACTACTTAGTGCTCATATAGTAGTGACTTGATTTTGGGTCTCATAAATCTTACATGTTTATTTTGTGTTTACTAATTTTTTATTATATTTTATAGTTAATTTCATGTTTAGTTTGTTCATCAATGTTTTAGCAATTTTGATTTATAATTTTTTTTTCCTTATAGAAATTATTTTTATAGCATTCAAATAATTTATTTGGTTTTATTTTATTTTTAATCCTCTTCATGGCTCACTAATATGCGTCGACAAGATGCAAACGCAAGTCTGATGCGAACCTGTAGTAAATAAAAAAATATAGAAGGAAAATAACATTTTGTACGCTTGAATAAGTAAATTTCATAGACATAACATAAGTATACATCCAACATTTACTCATCACCGACAAGGAACATATTACACAAACATATATCGACAATGAAAACAAATAGAAGTATCATATATTACAGAAAATCTACTATGTTGTCCATCCAACAAAAATTTAATAAATATTAATATAAAATATAGGTGCAGTGTACTGATACACCTTAAAATTACTTATTTTAAATATACATTTTATGTTCATTTTATGCATATTTTTTATGATATTGTGCTTTAATGATGAAATATATTTTGTATGTTTTTGGTTTTAGGAATAAAAATCCCTTAGGTTAATTCTAGTCTACTACTAACAGGCCTTAATTTGGAATGTCGATTAAAGTGTTTTTTCTAACAACTACTATTACTAAATGAAAATCTTAATTCTAAAGATAACTTATCTGGATTAATTGGTTCGGTCAATATTGAGATGTTAAAGACTACCCTGCTCGTGTGTTGACCAAGATAATGTATAGGAATGAAATGATTAAAATATAATGTTGTAGTGACAAATAGAAGCATTCATATTTTTTACTTCTTTCAATTGTATAAAAAACATTTGCTAATCTAAAGTTGGTGTCAACATGTATAATAGTCATTGGTAGGTTTTAGTCTCTCACTCCTAGATTACCCACTGTGTCTTCTGTATAGGACCTACCAGTGACCCTTAGTTTCAATCTCTAGTCTAAATTGATAAGAGAATCTAGCATATCCCTTGAAACATCAATTCTACGTTCATCAAATCTTATCTCCCTATTTAATTGCACTCCCCCTCGGGCTATCGCTACTGCCCTTTCCAAAGTGAAATGTGATACTCACTAGTTGGAGAAATCTTAGCCCTCTCGGATCTGTAAGTTTCTCAACAAATTTTAACAATAAAAGTGATCAGTTTGCAAAGTAAATTAAGAGTCAATAAAAATACCATCACATTTATGAAATAAGATAATTTCTAAGCAAATCTAAATTTCTATACATGCATCCAATTCATTGCAAAAGAAAAGTAAAATGAAGATAATGACATAAGCAGTAAAAGAATTGATTGATTATGTAATAAAATAAATGCCAACAAAGAACATATGTCTACCTATCCTCTTTCGAGCATATAGGTATGCTTAGTATTATATTAGTTTTGTGCAACTATCTGTCTCCTAGAAGCTTCTAATAGAAACAGATCATGAATTATATTTCCTTAAAAGTTGCATTACCGCCCATACTTTTTTCGCCCATACTATTTTGCAATAGCCAACCGGACAATGTGAGTGCACTCAAGTTGTAAGATCATTGCTCTCCCTAGTCTTTCGCTCTCCTGAGTCTTAGTTTCGCTTATAATAGATTTTAACATAACTTATTGTCACTTAATTTATGTCAATGAAGCGAAGGAGATATTACTCATCACATTAAAATAAAAATAATTCTATCATAAAACAAATTTTCCAACACATGTCACTACTTTATATTAAAAGAAAAGAGTAAAGAAAACAACTTACAAAGCATGGATAAAACACAACAGAAAACTTCATTTAAATCAAAGAAAATCCACTAGATAGTGTTTACAACAATTACAAAATAATGAAGAACAAAATACTTAGTTTTTTTTTTCCTCTGAAAGAAATATGAAAAATCTCTCCAACAAAGTCTCCTGCTGATCCATGTGCCGCTCATACTTCTTTAAGAATATCTCTCAAAATCCCTCACCAATCTCTCCAGGAAAAATTTACATCTCCATAAATTCACACCAAACTCTCTCTAAATTCCTTCCAAAACTCCTCCTAAAACTCTCCTAATTACCTCTCATGGGAGGCGTCAGCCCCTCTATTTAAAGAGACACAAAAACCCCCTCTTTTCTCTAAGAGACACATCCCTTCATCCAAAAGACACACCCTTTCACTCCAAGACATACATCTCTTCATGTCTTTCTAAGTGTCTTGATTCATTTAACCACTCCATGGGGCGTGCAAACTATCCAGAAGCTTCCAGAACTTCCCAAAACCATCAAAAACCATCCAAAACTGCCCCTGGACAATTTCTGGCAGCTAGGTGCCATGTTCAGTGACTAGATGTCGTTTTGTTGTCATCACTGGCACCTAGGTGCCAGTTTTGGGTTCCTAAGCGCCACCTTGCAGTTATCTCCACTATTTCGCTCTATTTTGCTCCATTTCAACTCTATTTTGCCTTGTTTTAGCTTTGTTGCGCTCCAAATTAATAAACCTACAAGATAGACATAAAAATAACCTTTTATTTGAAATGTAATTTTAGTCAAAATATGTGATAAATGTAAATGAGTTTAAACATAGAAAGACATATCAAAATGTGTCAGGTCAGATATTTCTTTCTTGCCCGATTTGACTCCAAATGACACTATTTTTGCTCCATTTTTGTTAAAAGTCCGTTTCCTGTACCTAAAGACAAAAACATGCAAAATACCTTCCTTTAAAGTGTAATATCATTAAAAATGTACATAAAATTATCAAGAAATGTACACTAAAAGGAGGTAATTTTCAGTTGGATCAATACCCCTAAACTTAAACGTTACTTGTCCCCAAGTAACACTATAACTTTAAAAACCAAATTTGTTAACTTGTCGTAGTAGGTTCACTTTTTAGATAACTAAAAATTTCTTTTAGAAAAGTTATATTCCAACTTTAGAAGAATTTCTAGTAAAGCAGATGATAACTAAGGTATCAAAACACATAATACAAAGTTTAAGAATATTGATTTTCTATTTAATTCAGGCATAACTATAATTTCCCCAAGCTTTCGATTTAAAAAAAAAAATATTATTTTTTAGAAGTTATGTCACCTATATTGAAAATAATTTTTACTAATACTTTCAAAATTTAAACAAAGAATTGATCTTAAGTTTTCTTCTTCAGAAATATTCAAGTGAAACCAATTTTTAATTAGGTCTTATTCTTGAAGCTTCTCCCTGATGCACCAAAAATATATGCATTTTTAGACCTATATTTTATACATATTTTTTGTGATATTGTGCTTAAAGGAAGACATTTTTTTATGTTTTGTTGTAGGTTGATGATTTTTAGGACTTAAAACAAAAATGAAGAAAAAAAGATGAAATTTAGAGTAAAATAACATTTTGGAAAAATTACTCAGCGCTGACGGTGTCTTTTGACAGAGAGTACATAATTAAATTCGGGCAACGGGCGCCGACGGCGCCAAGGTCGGTGCTGGGCGAAATTCTAGAAGATTCGATGAATTTGGATGCTTTTTGAAGAGTTATTGGATGCACCTCTTAGAGAACCGACATTATACTTTATTTAGCGTGAAAATTTCTTAGAAAAAAGTGGTAGTTAGAGGGGGCTAGAATGTAATTGAGTTTAATTGAGTGTTCTATTGTTTTGTGTTGTGAGTCTAAGTGTGATTTTCTCCTAAGAGTTGTGAAGAGAGGGAGAGAAGTGAGAGATTTCTTCTTTCATACATCTTTAAAGAGAAAATCAAGAGTCTTGTAAAGAGAGAAAGAGTTCAAGAGAGGCTATAAGAAGATTTGCTTTGAGAAAGAGTTGAGAAAGAGTTACAGATAAGTTTTGTTTGTTATATATTGTTGTATAAACTTTCTTTTAATTATGAAA